GATGCTGCTTGGCCTGCTGTGTTCATCCAGCTCTACACCTTGTTATCTCAGCACTGTTTGAGAATTGGTTTGTGCACTGTTTCATATTTTTCAAGCTCCCCAACACTAGGTGACACTGCTGCTGTTTCAAATGGTGTCTAACTATATTTTTCTACGCAGCACTGTATATTAACTTCATCATGTAGTTAAATACCAAGAAGCTTGGAATGTTTAAGAGAAGCATAAATATTTTAGGTAGAGAAAAATGCTATTGACATGTAGCACTTGCATGCATCAAAGTATTTCACAAAAAATGAAGAACTTTTGAGTCACAGCTGTAATATGCCAAAATATTTATCATGGGCCTTAATTGCCCACAGAAGTGTGGTAGAAAGTAGCAGAGGGGTTGTGTATCCTACCTGTAACTTCATCTAATCCTCTATCCATCACAAACTCATAAAATTAAAAATGTCCATGAACTGTTAACCTACCCATCAAGTTGTTATGATTGTACACATCTGATCTACAAATCTTGAGGAAGATAAATAGATGATAGTGGGATATACATTGAACTCCTCCAGCAAAAGGAGTCAATATCTGATGAGTTGAATGATTTTTATTCACTTGTGGGATGTGGGCATTGCTGGCTGGACCAGCATTTTAGTGCTCATCCATAGATGCCCTTGAGAAGGTGGTGGTGAGCTGCCTTCTTGAATGGCTGAAGTCCTCATGCTGTACATTCCTTTGAGCTTTAATCTTCCTTTTAGCTACATCCTGTGGGGCCTGCTTGTGCTTTCACTCAAAACGTCATAGTCAGGCTGAACATGCATTCCATTATTCATCTTGACATTAATATTGACATTCACTCCATTGGTCCATCTTGGGTTCAAATTGTGAAACTGCACCCTAGAGAAAGTGCTATTATTTCCTAAAATAGTTAGCAATTAAAACACTTACCCCCACAAAGCATAATGGAGAAGACATAAACTAGGTAGTTGAATATCATGCAAAATCATTATATTTGTTTTTTCCTGTGCCACGCTTGATGTATATTGAAAACTAAATGAATGAATTGAAATTAGGAACCAGATATATTAGAATTTGTTCATTTAATTATTGGTCCATGCCCAACTCGTTTAATGCAAGTTATAAGAGGGAGAAAAGAATCCTACATAAAATATCAAAGATTCTTTTGCTAATATTAAAGAGTCCAATTTTATCTCACTTAATCTAGGTGAAGAAAGTAGTCCCTAGATTCTTATCAAAGCATACAGTTTGTAGACAGGATGTAGTTTTGGCACATCTATAGGCAGTGAAGAGGTCACAGTTCATGTATTCCTGGAGAATAGGTTTCTGGAATAGAATGTTGAAGAGCCAACTAGCACTTAAAGTATTTAAGATATAGTTCTAGGTAATGTGAAAAGGCTAATTAATAGCCTTGCTGTATAGGATCCATTAGGAAATAGTGACCATAATATGATGGAGTTTCACATTAAGTTTGAAGTAATATGGATCACTCAGAAATTCTAATCTTATTAAAGGAAATTATGTATATATGAGAGGCAAGTTGGCCATGGTGGATTGGGAAAATACATTAAAAGAGTTCATAATTGGCATGCAATGGCTTCTATTTGAAAAGTTTTACAGGGTCTACAACAAATATACATTTCTCTAAGATACAGAAACCAAACAGGAAAGGTGAGTCAACTGCAGTGAACAAAAAATAAGTTAAATATCTCATTAGATCAAAAGATGTGGTTTGTAAAGGTGCTGTAAGTGGTAATAATTTAGAAAAGGAAGACTAAAAATAACTGATAAGTAAGGGTAAAAAGAATATGAATTCAAGTTCACTCTAAGATTGGCTGTAAAAGCTTCTTCATGTATACAAGACAAAATGTGGGCCCATTTCAGGCAGAGACAGAAGTATTTATAACGTAGGATAGATAAGTGGTGAAGAAGAGTAACAGTTACTTTGCACCTGAATTTCAAGGGAAAGGTAAGAAAATCTTCTAGAAGTACTAGGGAACCAAGGGGCTTGTGAAAATGAGGAACTGAAAAACAAATTAATAAAAAGAGGTATTACTAGAAAAACTAATTGGATATAAGGTTGATAAATTGCCTGGGCCACATGAGCTACATCCCAGAGTAATGAAAGGAGGTGACTAAATTGATAGTGGAACCATTGGTGGTTATTTTTCAGGTTGTTATAGCCTGGAAAAGTAGCAAATGTAACTCCACTTCCTAAGAGGGTAGGAAGAAAGAAACAAAATATTACAGACCTTTTACTTTTAAAACTAAAAGACACATTTTGTTAAAGTTTTTCATTTTATACTCATCAGGCTAATTCATAAGAAATATCAATGTGAAGGGAAAATCGTTTATACTGTATGTTAGAAGAGGACTGATTGGTTGGCAAGTGGATTATGATTGATAGTTGCTACGGAGAAGACAGTTTGCTGGTTGTCAGTATAACTTTTTGCACACTCAGGATACAGAGCAAGTGCTAGCCAATTGCAGAATCACATCTAATTATGCTGCTAACCTATTTAAGATAACCAGTTAGGCTTGCAGTCAATGTTCCCTGCAGCTGCACAGTCACTCTGATGGTGTGCACATAGCAATCAGCGAGCTGATACCACTCACCTCATTGTTCTCCGATTCCGGAAGTCATTACCACACACGGACTTCAGAGGCTATGCAGACAAAAACATACAGCCCAACTATTTGCAGACAGAAAGACACACTGCACCTGACTGCTCTCAATAGGTAACAGCCATTCCCTGGTTCATTTCTCCAGGAAATACCCTGACCAATCTGCTGGTTTGAAATTTAAATAGTTTGCCAGTTACTTGCTGGTTATCATTCAACAGACAAATTCCCCATGACAACACTAATACCAATCAGAGTCCACTTGTCAACCAATCAACATTCTCCGTTCATACACATAATTGTATTTTCCCCATTTACATGGGCATTTCTTGCATTGTCCTATGGAATGCCAGATGGAAAGCTTTAACAAAATGTGCCTTTTTTCAGCAGTAGGAAAGATGTTAGAAGCTATTGTAGAGGATGAAATAACTGGGTACTCAGAAAATAATGAGCAGAACCAACATGGACTTATGAAATGGACATCATGTTTGACAGAACTGTTACAGATTTTTTAAGGATACTGCTTATAGCATAGATAAAGGAGAACCAGTGGCTGTGATGCATTTGGATTTTCAGAATGCTGTTGATAACTTCTTATTCAGGAGGTTAGTAAATACAATTAGAGTTCATGGGATTGAAAGGAATATACAGAAATAATCATTAATTGGTTAATAGACAGAAAGCAGAGATGATGAATAAACAGATCATTTTCTCAACGGCGGGTTGCTATTAGTGGGACACCACAAAGATCAGTGCTAGCTCCAAGTGGACATCAATTATATATTTCAAAATTTATGATGACACCGAATTGCATTGGAACATAAGCTGTAAGGAAGATCCAGGCTGACTTCAAGAAATTTGAAAGGCTAAGTGAGCGGGCAAGAATAAGTGGATAGAGGATAATGTGATCAAGTATTAGGCTACTCAATTTGGGAGAAAAATAGAAACGCAGAGTATTTCTTAGGTAGTGTGAGTTTGAGCAGCTTTGATGTCCAAAGGAACATGGATGTCCTTATTCATGAGTTACTAAAAGCTAGCATGCAGAAGCAGCAAGCACCTTGGAAGGTAAAAGGTACATTAATCTTCATTGCAAGAAGATTTGAGTACAGGAGTGAAGATATCTTGCTGCAATTGTATATAGCCTTAGTGAGAACAGCCCTGGAGTATTGTGTCTAGTTTTGTTCTCCCTATCTGATGAAGGATGTAATTGCCTTAGAGGAAAATAGAGGATTACCAGATTAATCCCAGCAATGATGGGATTATCTTCTGAGGACAGTTTGAGGAAACTAGGTACATATTCCCGAGCATGTCAAAGAATGCAGGGTGACTTAATTAAAACTTAGAAACTTCTTACAGAATTTGACAGGGTAGACAAGAATAGGGTGTTTACTCTGCTAAGTGAGTCTAAAACCAGTGGGCACTGCCCCAGATAAGGCATGGTCCATTTGTGAATGGGATGAGGAGGTATTTCTTCACATAAAGGGTGATGAGTCTTTGGGATTCTCTGCCTCAGAGGGCTGGAGATAATCAATCATTGAGCATGTTCAAAACAGTAATTGCCAAATTTCTGGAGGTTAATGGCATGAAGAGATATGAGGTCAGTGGGAGAAAATGGCATCGAGTTGATTAGCCATGATCTGTTTGAATGGCAGAGTAGGCTCAATAGCCTGAATGGCCTAAGACTAAAAGATGTAGCAGCAGAAGTAGGCCATTCAGCCCACTGAGTTTTCTCCATCATTCACTTTTCTGCCTTTTCCTTGATTGCCTTGCTGATTAAAAGTCTGTTTGTCTCAGTCTTGAATATACTTAATGACCCAACCTCAACAACCCTCTGTGGTAAAATAATTCTAAAGATTCATAACTTTCTGAGAGAAGAAATTCCTCCTCATCTCTGTCTTAAATATGTGACTCCTTATTCTGTGATAATGCCTCTGTTCCTAGATTCTCCCTCAAGAGGAAACAGCCTTTTTGCACCAATCCTGTCAAATTCCCTAAGAATCTTACATGTTTCTGTAAGATCCCTTATTCTTCTGTATTCTAAAGGGTACAGACCCAATCCACTCAAGCTGTCCTCATGAGACAAACCCTCTATACATGGTATCAGCTTAGTGAATCTTCTGCAGATTGCCTCCAATGTCAGTATATCTGGCCCTAGATAAGGGATGTAAAACTGTTCACAGCTGCGGTCTGACCAGTGCCTTGTATATTTTTAGCAAAGCCACCTTCCTTTTGTATTCCATTCCCTTTGAAATTAAAGCCAACATTCCATTTCCCTTCCGTCTTACCCACTGAATGCGGATATAGGCTTTTCGTGATTCATGGACAAGACTCCCAAATCTCTCTGTCATATAGCTTTCTGTAGTCTTTCTCCATTTAAGTAATATTCAGCTCTTCTTTTCTTCCTGCCAAATGCATAGCTTCATATTTCCCACCTTATATTTCTTCTGCTAAGTTTGCGCCTGCTCACTTAACTTGTCCACATCTCTCTACAGACATTTTCTGTCATCACACTAGTCTGCCCACTTCTTTTTGTGTCATCACAAACTTGACTATAGTGCATTCACTTTCCTCATCCAAGTCATGAATATACATTATAAATAATTATGACCCCAACACTGATCTCCGTGGCACACCACCAGTTACAAGTCACCAGTCTGAAAATGTCCCCTGTTATTCAAACTTTCTGTCTTCTATTAGTTAGCCAATGCTCTAAAGTGGGAGAGAAGGCCTATTGCAAATATATAGAGATAACACAGTGTGGATCTGGAGGAACGCAGCAGGTCAGGCAGCATCAGAGGAGCAGGGAAGTTGATGTTTCGGGTCAGGACCCTTCTTCAGAAATTAAGAAGGGTCCTGACCTGAAACATCAACTTTCCTGCTCCTCTGATGCTGCCTGACCTACTGTGTTCCTCCAGCTCCACACTGTGTTGTCTCTGACTCCAACATCCACAGTTCTTACTATCTCTATTCCAAATATATCCCTGTATTAAAACGGTAATTATATTCTAAAGACAGTCATTGGCTGCAAAATGATTTGGAAAGTGCAAAATAATGTAGAAATACAAGTTCTTTTCATTGTTGACTACATTTTAATTATTTACTTTTGGAAGGAGCAATGGTGTATAACTCACAGGTAAGCATCAGTTTTAATTGTTTCACTTACCTATTGCAATTTGGCATGGTCCTGACCTATGCGGTTGTTGATTACTTCTGGATGGGCATTCCTCCTCTGGATTTAATGTTACCTTCTTTTTGACATGGGCAATTAGTAAGAAGCAAATACCAATAAATGTTACCACTGGGCCCATAATTTGCAAGAAGAGTAGTTTACATTTCTCATTTCCATTAGTTTTACCCGTTAAATTGAATCCTTCACCTTCCTTGGTGCCAGGGCAGGTGATTGCCCAAACTCCAATCATAGTTAACAGCACTCCACTAAAACAAAACAGGATGCCAAAGATAAGGAAACGGGCAAAAGTGTCCTGCTCACTGCATGAAAGAAAGCACCTTTGATCTGCTGAGTGGGCCAGCTGCCTCAAATTCACCAGAGACTTGGATCTCGATAGCAGTAAGAATACCAATGCAATGCCACACAAACTTGGTCCGGTTGCCTTTAGAATAACATTGCAGCTGCCACCATTACGATCACATGACTGGAACCCAAAGGTAGCAATAATAACTCCAGCGGATAGAAAGGAAACTCCGAACACAAGTAGAAAGAATCCCGTTTTATAAGAGCTTCTGTCTCCCTCTATTCTCTCCAATGCTGGAACAGTACGCATTATCAAGTCCTCAGGATTGAAATGTTCTTCTTCAGTGTGAAATGACCAAATCTGTGAATTTAAATAAATATTGCAGCGAGTTTTATTTTAGCATGCATGAGGTTTAATCTTTACTATTTTGCCTCTAAAATACAGTGCGGACACCACAGAAAAGAATTATTGAATAACAAACATATAAAAAGCTGGAAATACTTAGTAGCCATGCAGAATGAAAGGAGAGAGAAACAGAGAGAAAAATGTTGGACACTGACTTTTGATCATCTAATCAATTTTAATTTCAGATTCCCAGTGGCCACAATCATCCACTTTTGTTTTAGGCTATCAATTTTAAAAATCAGTTACATTTTTTTGTGAATGAACAGGTGTAGTGCAGTATTGAGGAGCACTGCAGAATTACAATTTTTAGGATCAGATTTTAAACCAAAACCAGATCTCAACATTTAAATGAATATAAACAGAAGAACAACCAGAAACAAGAACAGAAGTAAACAGTTTGGTCCGTTGAACCTGCTCCAAACATTCAATGTGATCATGACTGATCATAGTTTCAACTCCACTTTCCTACCTGCTCTCTAAATGCCTTGAGTCATGGAGAGACCAGAGTTCTGTCACAGCCTTAAGTATATTCAATTATGGTGCATCAATTGTGAAGAATTCGAAGAGGTATAACCCTTTGAGTAACTGAATATCATATCATTTCAGTCCTAAATGATCGATCCCTTATTCTGAGACTGTGTCCTCATGTCCTAACTTCCCCAATCAATAGATCCTGTAAAACTTTCTTGATGAAACAGGAGTTTCCTGATGCCGTGGTCAACATTTATTCCTCAACCAACATCACCAGGACAAATTAACTGGCCAATCTTCTGCTTGGAAAGTAATGTAATGAGGCACTTTGTACGTCCTGAGGACCGAAAAAAGGTAATCTGTGAATGCATGACCTTTCATTCAATAGTTCTGAAAAAAAAATTAAAGATTTACATGCAAAACAAATCAAGATAAAAATAGGATATCATCCTAGCCGTGAAGGAGGTACAACTCCACCAAACAGAAACACTTTAGTAATGATTAACCTCTTACTTCAGCCATGACTGATTTCATTTACCTATTCCAATTACAAATGGAGGTTACTGTATCATCTTGTATAATTGAAACCATCAAAAATTTACTAAACATTGCTGACTTTCCTGAAAAAAAAATCACTTGGTATTATTGCATTCTTCAATAATGCAAGAAAAAAACGAGTGGAGTCACACACACAGTCCATCCAAATCAAAGGAAATCAATTAAAACAATAACCTGCTGAAAATGTAGAACAGAATGCTCAGGATAAGGGAGTTTCAGAAATTTCTTGCACCTACAGACAGTGCTGCTTTCTAATGACAATTCCCTAAGCGGATGTTGGGGGTAACTGCCTATCCATAACAAGTCAAAAGAAGACTTTGCCTCTTTCTGTTGCCTCAAAAAATATTCATGCAAAGTGAGGACATAATAATTATGAATATGGCTGCCAGAATTTATTGGTAATTAGTGCTCTAGTCCGCAAAGCCTGTGCAGTTCTATTATCTCTTAGAGTATGCAGAAAAATGTAATGAAAATTGTAACAAGCTATAAAGAAGAAGAACGTTTACTATTAGTTTTGACATGATTTGAAGGTTACTCTTTTATTTATTATTATTTCTGTTAAAGATCTATTGCTTTCGAGAGTGAACATTTTGAAAGCAGAGTTAACAACTATTTCTTACAATTGATGATAATAAAATTTCCTACTTTATCCATATATTCCTTTTGCTACTTCAGCTATATATTTGTTAACAGTTCTATGAAATGAAATATGACAGATGTGAAACTTGGCTGTGAAAAGTCTGAGAGATAGTAGGAACTGCAGATGCTGGAGAATCTGAGATAACAAGGTGTACAGCTGAATGAACACAGCAGGCCAAGCAGCACCAGAGGAGCAGGAAAGCTGACGTTTCGGGCCTAGACCCTTCTTCAGAAAATGAAAATTTTCAGAAAATGAAATTTTCTGAAGAAGGGTCTAGGCCCGAAACGTCAGCTTTCCTGCTCCTCTGATGCTGCTTCATCCAGCTCTACATCTTGTTATCTGTGAAAAGTCTTGTTCAGTTTCAGAAAGTGGCCAGGAAAGGAATAAACTCATCGGGAAGATAAGAGCTTACAATGAAACTGGTAAAATAGTAAAACAATAAAATATATAAAATAGCACACTGTCAGTGGATGGTTTGTAAGGGCAGAAATATTGCTGATTCATGAGATAATATCACAAAAGAGTAATATGTAGATGAGAGAACCATGGGTATTCCCAATACAGCAGTGGGAAAGAATTTCTATAATAGTTCTGGCCTGAATTAGATAAAAATATTTATCGTTTTTGTCTCAACACAGCATAAATGTTGCAGTAGGATAGCATGATGACTTTTTGAAATCGGTAGAAACATCGAGAAGAAATAAGACACCATGGTTATTCACTTTGTTAGAAATAATAATAAACTCTGAACAATGGATGGAATCCAGATTGTACAGATTCTAAATGATGAGTTTCAGGAGGAATGGAGTGGTTCAGGGAGATGACGACATGTTTAGGGACAGGGGAGGAAGATTGAATATAGAAAACAGATAGCAAGTACAGAGAAGTGAGAATCAGACAGTACGTTCATTCTTTGACAAGCTTGATGAATTTTTGAGGGGAGTTGGTTTAGTGCTCAAGGAGAGAGAGCTATTCACAATATCAACCAAAGTAAGGGTTTAAAAGGGAAATTGATTGGCAAAGATATGTAGGAATGAGTTAAGTTTTAAGGATGAAATAAGGAATGGAAGTAACACCAACAATTTATATTTACATAGAACCTTTTACAGTAATAAACATGCATTTCACAGGCTCGATTAAGACAACATTTTACACAAAGAGCTGTTGGGTGAGATGACCAAAATCTTGGTAAGAAGTAGATTTTTTGGAGCGGCTTAATGGAGATGAGAGATGTAGAGAGGCGGTGAGGTTTAGTGAGGGAATTTCAGAGCTAAGAGTCCTGGCAAACAGTGGCTTGAAGAAAATCAGGGAAGCTCAAGAAGCCAGAATTGGAGAAGTGCTGACATTGCAGAGGTTCATGAGGCAGCAGGACATTACAGAAATGTGGAAGCAAATGTTGAGAATTTTAATATCAAAGTATTGCTCGACTGAATGCTGAGATAAGTCAGCAAGCACAAGAGTGAAAGTGAATGGCCTGGACAAAGTAGATGTGGGAAGATGCTTCCATTGGTAGGAGAGTCTAGGAACTGAGGGCACAGACTTAGAGTAAAGGGAAGACCTTTTAGAACGGAGATAAGGAGAAACTTCTTCAGCCAGAGAGTGGTGAATCTATGGAATTCACTGTCACAGAAGGCTGTGGAGTCCAGGTCATTGAGTACATTTAAGACTGAGATAGATAGGTTCTTGATTATCAAGGGGATCAAGGGTTATGGGGAGAAAGCAGGAGAATGGGTTGAGAAACTTATCAGTCATGACTGAATGGCGGAGCAGACTCGATGGGCTGAATGGCCTAATTTCTGCTCCTATGTCTTATGGACTTAAGTGAGTAGAACTTGGTGTAAGTTAAGATATCTAATGAAAGAACATTGGTTGAGCACTGGTTTACAGGGGGTGCAGAGTTGTGACGGTGGCTGGGAGAGCATTAGAATAGTTAATAAAGTGGGGTTCAAGATTGGAATGGGAGAAGAACAAAGGTATGTTTATCTTAATGGACCTGGGCAAGGACAAGGGCAAGGGCTTGGGGATGTGGTCGGGGAGCGACAGAAGCAGCCAAATGGATGATTCTAATTAAATATAAAGGAACTCATGAGTGTGAAGAATTTTAAAAAAAATTACCCATACATTTGTTATCAAGTCAACTTCATTCCCCTGCTCTTCGACTGAACAAAAATCAACACTCCTTAGATCAAGGTTTATTTAGTCCTGATGAAAACATATTAATTATTGAATTTCAGAGCTACAGTATGCTGCACTGCAGCTAACCCACACAGTATGTATTAAATAGCACCGTTAAACCTATGTCATTTCACAATTATACAAAGGAAACAGACACTGTGAAAGCAATGATTCTCTTTAGTATTTGTGAATTGCAATGTGCATTTAGCAGAACCAAGTGGTAAGTAATGCAGCAGTCCAGGTCACAGCAAGCTCTATCAGTAAAGCAGGCATGCACATAAAACTTCAAGAGATTGATTCCTGGCTAACCATTGGCATGAGGAGAGCACATGTAAGAATATTGATTTAAGAAGGAAAGATTGGCATTTATATAGTGCCTTCACAACCTTGGGATGTACTGGAGTGCTTTACCACTGGATGAATTATTTTTGAAGAGTAGTTTGTTTAAAGAGAGGAAACACAATTTGCATATGGCAAGGTCCCACAAACAACAATGAGATAATGACCATATAATCTGTTTGAGTGATGTTGGTTGAAGGATAAATATTAGCCAGGACTAAGGGGAAAATTTTCCTACTCTTTTGTGAAATAGCCGCATGGAATCTTTTGTGTCCTTCTGCAGGGTCACACTGGAAGGAGGGCATGGAGGGGTGGGATGTTATTTTAACATTTCAGCCAACAGGAAACATTACTGAAAGTGCACATTCCTTCAATATTATACTGAAAGGTTAACTTGGATTATATGCTCGAATTTCTAAAATGGGACTTGAACCTACAAGCTTCATGATTCAGAGACTAGAGTGCTGCCATTGAGCCATAGTTTAACAGTTCCCAGATGATCTACATTTAAAACTGTTGCTGTAATGTCTACAATTCTTCCAGCTTTATGGGGGCTCATATGCCCAGTGATAGTGTCCCACCTCTGAGCCAGGAGTCCCATATTCAAATCCCACCTGTTCCAGATGAGTGTCATAACATTGATGAATGAATTGATCAAAATGGCTAAATTCTAGGCTGTGATGAAATTGTGCCTCAGTGTAAACTCAGACTAGTGCAATATAATTTTCTGATGATGGTAACACAACATTTGGGTTTTGGTACTTTCAGGTATTAATTAAGATCCTGCCGCTCATGTTGTAATTGCAATTGCAAGATAATGGCACCTAACACTGCTTGTAGCTTGTAACTTTAATATGAAATGCTACAGTAACTTATTTCAGTGATTTGCTTTATACCATAACTAAGATCCTCTTGTTCAATCTAAAAATGTCTAAGTAATTCTTCATGGGCAAATATACACAGAGGGCAAACTGTATATGTTACCATTTTAATGTTCATAAAATGCAGCTTTTCTGTAACTGCTGCTATTGTATATATATCTACGCCAGTAACAGCTCCTAGCAATACATCCTTGGGTCCTAATAACGGTCAGAACTGAGTACTTACACAGAAAAGGAGCTTCTCTCCCAGGTCTTACTTTTTAGCTGTTGGGGACAGAAGATCACTTAATTTTAAATATTATGCCTAGTTCGCTCTCTAACATTTCTGCGTTTATAAAGTGTAACTTTTTGAGACCACGATTAGGAGCACCCACTGTCTCAATTTTTTTTTCTTGATTATCTTTTAGTTTTATAATGCCCAGGGCGTGTGCCTACTGTGGGCTGTAATACAAAAAAAAATCTCAGAGGCCCTTTCATGATCTAGGATGTTTCCAAGCGTTTTATAGCGAATTATATGCTTCTTAAAGATTAAACACTTGCAATATAAAGCTACCAATTGTCGACAGAAAGATTCCACAGTCAAGGAGATAGTTACCGGATGTTTTTGTTTTCTTTGCTACTGTTACTAAGGGGTAGTTCTTGGCCAGGACACGGTGAAGCACATCCTTGTTCTTTGTTGAAATAGTATCATGGCATCTTTTATACCAAACACCGAGA